TACCAAACATCATGATAATTACCAACTTGTCAAATTTTACAAATGAGATTTCAAGTTTTCAATATTTAAAACATCCTAAAAGATCTTTACATTCAAAAATTAGAGTTAAATCAATAAGTGGAAGCATTTGATTGTAAAAGAATCAATGCATTTGCATAAAATTGAAAAACAGAGAATCAGTGCAGAAAAAGAGGCATGCGCTATGACTTGTCATACTTGCACAACCTCTATGCCAATTATGTTGGCTACAGCAAGTAGCCTCTATGCCACAAGTCATGGTGAATAAGTCCAATTTTGTTAAAATAATTCTTTTGTCTCATTCAACTTATTTTCAATGCTCAAACTATTTTTCATATTTTTGTAACGTTTTATATTTTGCTTGTAAGTGCTTTTTAAGGGCCTTAACCTATAGCCCTCACATTTTACTTTAGGATCTCAAAGGTTTGAAGTGTTCTAAATTAATCTTTGTAAATCTCCTTTTTTAGTAAGATTGATCCTTCTATTCTTGCTTACTTTCTTAATTACACTAATTGACTTAATTAATAGGATATAAGTGTGGATAATGATAAAGGTCATTACAATCTTACAATTTACCTAGCTAGCATAATATGAATTTCCTTCTTAAGAAGTAGGCTTGGTATAAGTTATGATATAACTAGAGTGCACGAGCTTTGCTTGTTGATTCCTTGTCTTTTAAAGGGCACACAAGGGAAAACAATCAAGTCTACAATCATGGAGTTTCTCTCTATTTTTTTTTATTTTTTGTAAGTATTCTCTTATTAGAAACAATTCTATTCGAGATACAATCAAGTATTAAATGTAGGTACCTTTTCTCATAGGGATTCGAACCTTGTTGACTCTCTCTTTAATCCTTGCGTTTTCCATACATGAATCAATTAGACAATTTTATTGTATGTTAGATATGGGAATAGGCATGAATCCTTGATTAGCTCATTATCCTATCAAACTAAGTTATTATGTTTAGAGTTAATATATGTATTTATATATCAACATCAATGTACCTAATAAATTTATAGGAAGCAAAGAGACTTGTGAATCATACTAATTTGGTTTTTCTACTATTTCATGCTTTACCCTTTTTTTAAAAAATTTCTTACACTACAAGCATTCATTGCATCTTTTCACTTCCAATTGTCTCTTTTCTTCAAAATTTTCTATTTTTTCTCCAATAATTTATAATTATTCAGGTTATTAATTTATTATCTGTCCTATTTTTGCCCAGCAATAAAAGTGATTTAGAGTATTTAAACTCCACGTTTATGGTTTTATGAGTTGTTAGTTGTTGATAGCCATTAATATTAAAAAATGGCAATAAATAAGGTTGTTAGGAATGTTTGATGGCCATTAATGGTAGTTTAATAGCTCATTGATGACAATGTGAGTTGTTAGGACCTAGTAAACTCATCGGATATGATTGAGAGTGAGTTTATGATTTTGATAAAAAGGAGAAAGCTTTTTGTAGATACCTAAATTATCTCAATCGAACTTCGGATGGAAATTTAGGACGCGTCAGAAGTTTATCCTGAATGCTGTCATATGACAGTAAAATTTGCTATCAAATTCATGTAATACACCATAGCATATGACACAGAAACAATATGCCAAAGCATAAGAGTGATAAGCCGCGGCGCATGTGCCATTTTGGTGGCAAATGAATTTCTTATTTCATTTGCAAATGTTTTTACTTATTTTTGGAATCCCATACTTCCACATACATTTTAATATCTAATTTGTTAATATTTGATGTTTTATGGGAGTATTTTACATTATGAAAACTTGAGATCTCATTTGTATAATTTAACAATTTAATAATTACATTAATATTTGAAAATTATAGAAGATTAGTAAAGGTAAACTTATTAGCCTCACCTAAATTTTACAAGGAGCCCTCCTATTGCTTTGGATATGGGGTATTCAAGAGTTACTTTTGAGTTTGATTTGAAACTCTTGGTGGATACTCCAAAAAGTTGTCTTTAAATAGGACAGAATCAACATTATTATGATGGAGATCAAAGAAATACTGAAAGCTCAAGAAATTTTTTAGATAAGATTCATCTCAAGGGATAATAATCGTGCTGTTGCTGCAATGGCAAAGAATGAATTCAATGAATCACGAGCTTATGACACAGCCCCAACCTTCATAAGGGCCCTAGTTCATAATGATACTTTGGGATTAAATTTCCACCTACTTTGATTTTGTTTGTAATCTAGCATATATAAAGAAAGAAAGAAACTCGGAGGCCTTTTCTAAAATGGTGAAAAAGAAACTGATAAGCCCACTGGTCCATAAAACGCCATCACTAGATCCATCAACTTCTCTTAAGGGTCAAAAACATCCGGAGGCCCTGATATCTATGTCCATGGATTCATAGGCTCATGGGCCTCCGTTCTAAAATTATCTTATCATGAATTTTAACCAACGTTGGAATTAATAAAATTATTTAATAATAATTTTTTATCTACAGTTAAAAAAATAATGGCCAACATAAATACGTTGGTTAAACTGATTTTTATTTTTGGCCAAAGGTTAAACTGGTATCTTACATTGCGTTGTAATCAAGCTAGAATCAAAATTTTCATATATATATATATATATATATAATATTAAAAAAAGCTAGAATCAAGATTGGGCTTAGCCAGTTTCTATGTGGAATTATCAGATGGGGAAACAGGCTGCTCACTTTAAAATCTGTCGTTCTTACTTGGCAATTCCCATGTGGGATATTAATTGCGTCAAGTTGGATATTAATCTCTATAACCCCACCAACCACAAGGACGTGTGTGTATGTATTCCAAGCATGTGCAGCGTGTCAAATGCTAATTAAAGTTGTGCGTTATCGTCTGTCAATCAAAATCTAAAGAAGGACAACAGATCGAAAATTCCTTCTCCTGTGAACGGATCCAAGAGGCTGGATATGGTAATGGGACCTCAAGTCCCAACTGTCTAGCTGTAGCCTTGCTGCTTAGGCATGCTTGTTCATACACACTGCCCTTACTTTTGCAGAAGCTCGAGTTTAACGTGAGTTGAGGAGGAATAGAGATATCAATAATAAATTATCAACATAAAATTATAGCCGACCTTTTACAGGGATACAAGTATAGTGAAGGCATATGATCGAGTCAGATCCTACTACCCCCTAGTGACTGCTGACAGTGATAATAAATAATGCACACTCGGCTCGGTCAGATCATTATCAATTCAGTAACTAATTGAGAATATTATTCCTTGTTTGCTGAAGATATGTTCTATTCATTTGTTTTTTCTGCTGTTCTGACTTAATTAAGTTCACGAGTGAAATGAGATATTCATGTACATGGGTCATTATCAACCACTTAATAACCTGTTCTACTTATATTCCTCCTGTCTCCTCTTCTCTCTCTGTTTTTTTAAATCATCTGCTTATAGTATAATCTCAGTGCAATGTGGCTACTTTCAACTTGATATTCTATTCGAGATATTATATGGAATTGCATTTGTCTCAGGTGATAGTTGGGTTCTGACTGATACCTTTTCTTATTCTGCAATTAATTCTTTTTTTTTTTCCTTTTCGTCTCATTTCTATACAGGCATAGTTAATTGGTACCAGGTTCATGAACCAGGTACTAGTTTAACGGCCTCCTAAGAATTTGATTGTGCTGAATAAAGTGAAGTGTTTTGTGGAGGGTTTTCGTTGTAATAAAATATAACCTAGCCATATGTAAAATTCTTGCGGAGAGCTCACGAGATTCTTGGATTGGTGGTAGATAATCTTACACATAAACATGTGTCGTCATCAACATCAAGTTACTGAAAAACTCAAATTAAGTCAGCTTATAAAGTAGCAGATTCATCCACAACACACTGTTGTGGTCCCGCACCAAGTGAGGAAGACGCATATATAGAATAAATGAGACGTGCACCCTGTAGTCTTCTACTCGATCTTTTTTGTTTTCTTTTCCATTTACTCCGACATAAACTACATACTATTCTTTATCTAAAGGCCCTTCGGATCCACAGCTGATCACGTATTCTTTTGGGGAGCTCAACCGTTCGGTTTTCCTCTAATCGCATAATTTCTTATCTATGCCTTTTCATTTTTCCACTTTCGATCGGAGTCATGCAATTCAAGCTCATCCCCCTCCCCTTCCTTTTGTTGTGTTGGCTGAGAGCAAAAATTTTGTTACATTATGCAGAAAAGGACGTGGCTTCTGTGGTACACTTGAAGGAATTAAGCGAGTTCATCCGTGCAATAGAAAAGAGCATAGCTTTGTGACTTCCTAATAATTAAAATTTAAATGGCGTTGACAGCACTTATAAAGTTTAAACAACTGATGACAACATCATAATTAAAAAATGTTACAAAGTTAAATATATAACATTAAATTTATCGACAATGATAGTAAGTTATACATATATAGTACCCATAACTTATTTAAAGTTCGTGTTTTAATTTGTACGTCTAATAGTAACTGTATCGCACTACTATGGCAGAATCAACTATTACTATTGGGTATATGCTTTTTCTGCAGCCTGGCAGTGAAAGCTTAATTCCACTGCAGTGTGTCAATACAAACAGTACCCCAAAATAAATAAATCTAAAGGGGGGAAAACACACACAGATCCACACCATTCTGATTTCTGATCTCAGTGGGGTGAATTCATGAAGCCTGGAGTCATGGGCTTCTGTACATGCAACAATAAACAACTGCCTCTGCGCAAAGTGAAATAAAAGCTTAGTCAGTCATACATATGGTGTCGCATTAAAATTAAAATTAAAGTTAAAGTTAAAAAAAACAAGAATTAAGAGGAAAGGAAAAACTACAGGCCTATCTAAGACCAAACTTTCTGTTTCTATAAATATGAGGACAGAAAAGCGTTGGTCAATCGAGCATCTCAACCCCGTTCTTTCTATCCAGTCACTCACATCTCGTAAAAGTTGGTGACTTGGATCCCTTGGTTGTCTTTTACTGTTGCTGCACTCACTAGCAAGCAAGCCATGATGGATATTGAATCGACAACGCAAGCAAAGGAATGTGGAGTTTGTGGTCGTTGGTTGGGTTACGTCAAGGCTTTGCCTGAGAAATCCAAATCCAAGATTATGAACTTCACAAGCAACATAAAGAAGACTGCACTGGCTGACCCCAGGAGAGTAATTCACTCGTTCAAAGTGGGAATAGCTCTGACGATAGTGTCGTTGTTATACTACATCAGGCCTCTTTACGATGGCTTTGGAGATGCTGGAATGTGGGCCGTCCTCACTGTGGTCGTCGTATTTGAATTCACAGTAGGTAATAAAGTTGCCAGCGTCATTGGTCTTCACTGTCAAATAAAAAAATTAGCTGACAAATTCAAGAATATAAATGCCTACGATTTTGTTCTTATTCAGGTGCCACTCTCAGCAAAGGTATGAACAGAGGATTTGCTACCCTATTGGCCGGTGCTTTAGGGGTCGGAGGTCAACACTTGGCTACTTCTTTGGGAGAAACAGGAAAACCTGTTGTCCTTGGGACCCTCGTCTTCATTCTGGGTACTTTTCTCTCTGCATGCATTTGATTTTGAGGCCAGAATGGAACATATATAATGATATTGTCATGTTATATGTTTGCAGCCGCAGGATCGACGTTTTCCAGATTCTTTCCTAGGATCAAGGCAAAATATGATTATGGGGTGCTGATATTTATATTGACATTCAGTATGGTCGCAGTGTCGGGCCAAAGGGTTGAGAATATTTTCGAGCTTGCATATCAAAGACTCTTAACAATTTTAGTTGGGGGAGCAACCTGCATGGTCATCTCCTTATTGGTCTGTCCAGTGTGGGCAGGCGAAGACCTTCACAATTTGATTGCTTCCAACTTAGAAAAGCTTGCCAAATTCCTACAGGGTAGGCTGACAATCTAAGACCTTTGTATTTAGCTTTCCTGTTCTTCATTTATTATTCAGTCTGATATTCGTAAGTCAAATGTAATATGTTTGCAGGATTCGAATGTGTATATTTTGAATGCTCAGAGAATAAAGAGAATCCCGATAACTCAATCCTTCAGGGATATAAAAGTGTTCTCAATTCCAAAGCAAGTGAAGAGTCATTGGTGAGCGCCAACGTCTTTCTCTTTTGAGAGAATATTTGCAATATTTTCACTTTCAAGTTGATGATTATTGATCTTCATCCGTACCATCCGCAGGCAAATTTCGCGTGGTGGGAACCAGGACATGGCCGTTTTCGCCTTCGCCATCCTTGGAAACACTATGTTAAGATTGGAGCACTTGCTCGAGAATGTGCTTACAAGATTGAAACTCTCAACCGTTACCTGAACCCTGAAATCCAGGTATATAAAATACATCATTTTCAATTTTATTACTCATTGTCTCATTGTATATTTTTCAATGAATTTAAAAAAAAAACATAACTTTAATTCTGTACTTTATTTAAGTTTTGTTATAAATACTTATATTTTTTTATTTTTTTAAATTTCTACAATCCAATTTTTCAGTATTTTAAATTCTTATAACACCATTTATAAAAGGATCTAAAAAATTAAAAAATAAAAATATAGGAGCTTAAAATATAAAAAAATAAATGCAGGTAATTATTGCAAAACTTTAAGAAAATGTAGGAATCTAGATTATGTTTTTTCTGAATTTTATATTAGAGCTTTTGAATTCGATTAACTACATTTCCCAATATGTCTTTGGCTTACTGCAGGTTTCTTTAGAGTTCAAAGGTAAAGTTCAAGAACCATGCACGAAGTTGAGCTCCGAAGCCAGCAAGGCATTGAAAGCATTGTCATTATCCATCAAAACAATGACAGACCCGTGCGATGCAAAATCTCATATAGAGAATTCTAAAACCGCGATCAAAGGCCTGGAAATTGCATTGGAAACCGCTTCGTTAGATGATGATCAGGAGCTCATAGCTATCGTACCAGTGGCCACGGTTGCATCAATACTGGTAGAAATCACGAAGTGCGTAGAGAAAATTCATGACTCCGCATCCGAGCTTTCTTATTTAGCCCATTTCAGGAGTGTAAATCCCAATGCCCCGGTCTCACCGGACAAGCCACACCTCCTTCATCGAGGAATCATAAAACCTGTTGGAGAAAGTGATGGCGCCGGCCAATTGGAAATTACCATAGAAGTGCCAAACACGGACTCATTAGAAATAAAAGCGCAGCACCAAACTAACTCAGCCACCTGTAAATAAATGTTGTTAATTTTGAGGGACACTGGATTTTCACTGGACCTTTTTTTGATCCGTAGTGACGCTGAGTGGAATAGTAGTCTCCAATTTCATATATATCCTTTGTATTCTGGGAACTGTTGAGTCTGCAATACTTCAAGGGAGAAGCTGTCTCGATTTCTTTCGTTGCTTGTATTGTATTCTTGCATATTCTCATCACTTTCAATATTTTCAGTACTTTTCTTAGTCATCAGCTTGCCGAACTAATTAGCAGCAGGGAAAATTACCTTGAAAACTAGCTGCCTCCTGCTCTCAGCCACAAACTTTGTGCGTTTTGTTTTGCCTATCTATGTATGGTTTCTACATATGAGATATAAAAAGGGGATTGATTATATATGTGTGTGCAGAGAGAGACAGAGCGAGGAAAAGGCTGCAACGTCCACAATAAAATAAAGATAAACACAACTACATAAGCTAGTTTGCGTTGAACTTGTTTTTGTTTAAAGAAAGACAAAAACCGGGGGGGGGGGGGGGGAAGAAATCTAACACGTGTATCTTTGTTAACTTCTCAAAAAGGGAAGAATAATTAATAAGATTAAAGGTGTGTTTTAAAAATGAAAGTGCGGAGACAAAGAAGTAGGCGACAACGTTCAAAGCCAAAAGCTGACATTTCTGCTGCCGCCAAATCACTTGGATCTGATAAAAGAATTGCTATGTTCATAGCCAATGATATAATATTGGTGAGGTAACAGGACAAAAGAATATAGACCAAGAGTCGTCAGGAGAATCTAGAAAGGACATGCTCAGCGCAAGTCTTAAAAGGCTTATAGATAGCTTGACCTTAGAATGGCTAATTAGTCCCCTGTCTTTTTTGGCAACATTTATCCCATAATGGAGATGGTGAATATGAAACAGACTCCTGGAGTGGTCAAACCAATCATAAATCATGAGTGAACTATGCAGCTCGTACCAAAGTTTCAGATTCATTACAGAATAACAAGAGCAGCAGCTGGTTAAGTGGATGCAACAGGCCTCTCAATTAAACATGATATGAGGGATGTGTGTGTGTGTATAAAAGGACAGTGCAATACCGGGATGCATGCATTTGGTAACAATAAGAGGTGAATATATAATATAAGCAGAGCAAGTATGGGCTAACTGAGATTAAACTGGAAGATTCCAGGGCTTTTCCAGTACGGTGAGAGCCTCGTCCTTGTGCCTAATGGCTTAGTCGGAGAGTTACCACAAACAGTCCGATATGGGAATCACATGCTCCAAGTCTGTAACTTCACATACACTACCAGCTTTCTGTATTAATGTATGGTTATTAGTTAATTATTAAGTCGCACGTGCACCGCACGCTTGAAAAAGGAAAAGCTGCGTCCGAATTGAAAGGACAGGCAATATGCCATGTGTGTGAATTTTGCTTCCGCAAACTTTCTTCATTTGATAACAAATGTCGCAACTTGGAGTAGAAAATGAGTTGAATCACATAATATCGCTTCATTACAAATTTCATCCGAGTAAAATGATTGAGACGTCATGTTCAGAGTCACGGATCCGTGCTTAGGTCCTTTAGTTGTAAATTTGATGGCCTCACCTTCACGTAACGTCACCTGGGTTGATTTGACTTTAATTTTATGCATGGTTGCAAAAATCAAAACTTGAAACAGACTTAATGATCTGTAATAAATACTATAGATCTAGATAGCTATAGGTTAATTTAACTTTTCTTTAAGGTTCCTTATTGTTCATGGTTTTCGTGGACTGCTATGAAAAGGAGGTTTCACTTTCAAGTATATCTTTCTATCACGCATTCCCTTCATTCCTTGAAGAAAAGGCGAGCAGAAGCATCGGATGGATTATACATAATATTATATTTCTTATTTAATGCCCTGCTGTACCTTCACATGTGTAAAACGATGGAAGTCTAAAATGTTGAACAAATTTAAGATACTGAGGCATTTAAAATAATTCTATGAACTTGATTATCAGTATTCGCCTCACCTACAAAATTTTATTTAAGCATCATAGCATAGGATGAGCTATATTGATGTTCTAATGCGAAAAAAGGGCATTACACAGTTAAATTTGGATTATAATATTACAACAATGATAAATGAATTTATTCTACTATGTGTGGTTAGCTACATTTTTAAACTATATGATATTGTATTAACATATTTTATATTATGTTGTTTAAAAATTAAATATCAAATTTTATCTTGACAATTTTTATTTTTTAGCATATTTTATATTTTATTTTTTAAACCGTATGATATCTTTATCAATTTTTAAACTATGTGTGATTACAAATTTTAAAATAAAAAATTATGCTTTATAGTTTTAACATATACCGAGTTACAAACTAACTGATTTTTTGTAAGAAAAATGAATTCATTAAAATTTTTCCCTCCCCCTCCATATCTCTTGAATTGGGGGGAAAATGTAGTTTAAATAAGTCTATGAATTCGATTATCAGTATGCGCCTCATCTACAAAATCTATTTAAGAATCACGGCATAGGAGGAGCTAAATTAAAGTTCTAATGCGCAAAAAAACGCATTACACAATTAAATTTGGACAACGGATGAATTCATTGAATCATTGTAAATAATAACATCGGTATTCTGTGCAAGTGTAACAACCCAATAAATAGTTAAAATTAGTTATTATAATGTAAAACAAAATATTTCGATCAATGTATGGATATATTTTGATAGTGAAAGTATGTTTATTAGTTATAACGAGCCAGAAGAAAATACTCAGATATTTTTTAAAAAAATTAACTAGAATTTACAATTAGATTTCTTAAGTTACTATATTTAAATATTATTAATGTTTTAAATACTTAAATTTAGAATGCTTTTTTTGATGAATCACATAATCTACGAATCAATTTTAAAACAACTATAAAAAAAAAAAAACTTGCCGAGGATCAGGAACGATGTAATACTTCCTCTGTAAAATACATGATATTGGTAAAATGGTAATTAATTCACAAATTTAAAAAATTGTTAGGAGAACCTTATTTTCTTAAAACAAATTTAAATCTTTTCAATTTTACTTTCATTAAATAACCTATATAAGTAATTTAATAATAATAATTAAAATTTTAATACATTATTTTTAAAAATAAATAAATAAAGCAAAAATATAAATAACTATAAAAATTGTTTAAAATTAGCGAAACTTTTAAAACATGCTTTACGAGGGAAGTAAATTGTTATTTAGAATCTATTTATAATTGGGCCGATAGCCCATTAACTTGAATGAGATCTCCGCCTTTCTGCTTTCCCCTTCCCCGTTCCACCGCCCCTCCGTTTACATTTACATTTACATTTCCTTCAACGCGAAGGTTTCTCGGTAAGGGGTGTAAGCGTCATTCGCTGCAACATTTTCTCCATTGCCCCTCACCTTGCCAGTTATATCTTCAATGAGAAACAGGAATTAAAAGTAAATCGTCTTCACGTTCGAAAGCTAGAGATGGGGCTTTTGTCCAACAGGTATCATTGCTGCCACTCATAAGTCGCTTCTTCTTCTTCATGTTTTAAGCTTTCTTTTTAAGCAGTGTTTGGAATCTCTTTTGCTCACCCAAACATGCTAAAATCTAGGTCGAATTTTCATTAACGAATATTGTTCCTTTTTCCTTCTTTAATAACAAAAACGATCGATGAACTACTATCGACGAACAGAGTCTCTAGAGAGAGCCTGAAACCCGGGGATCACATCTACTCTTGGAGGACTGCGTATATCTATGCTCATCACGGTTCTGTCAATCTCTCTTCTCTTTACTTTTTTACTTCATGGTTTTTTGTGGGTTTAATTTGTCTTCAGTTGATATGCCTGTTCTGTTTACGCCTTTCTGAGTTTATGATGTAAAGGAAGATACAATAGGATGTAAGAGTGTACGACATACGAGGAGAATAAATAAAATTCCTTCTCGTTCTTTACAATGATGACGCTTTGGACTTTTTGGACATCAATACCTGTTCAGGATGCCCCTATCGTTGCCTAGTTCTGATCTTGCACATGCTGAAATTGCGTTTTAGTAAGGGAATTCTGATTTCTGTCCTTGATCCGTCGTAATGACTTGTTGCCTGGCGGAGAAAGGAAGAAAAAAGAATGGAAATGTGAGAAGATAGGCAGAGAAAGCTATATTGCATTTCATTCACTGTATGCTTTTATGTAGGCTGCATTCTGATTCCGATATAGATAGCTCTGAATAGCAAGCTAACAACCGCCACAGTTAACTGAATTACTAACTCTATTAAGTCCTTACAACACTAAACGAAGGAACTGTTAATCTGGCTATTGAAATCATAATATTTTTAGTTGTATGTGATGCTTATTATGGTCTTTGTCCTGGAAATGGCTGGTTAGATTGGAAAGAATAAATGAATTGCATGATCAAGGATTTGTTGTTCGTGCTCTCAGCTTATTGTATACCTTTCTATATACCCCCGAGTCTTAGAAAGCAGAAACATTTTGCTTTTCTATACTGGATTTTCTACTGCTAACTACTTACTTGTCGGTGGAGAATTCCAGGTCCTACATTCAGGTCATGACATTGTCTGTTAACTTGTATTTTCAGGAACTCCTTTCATATAGGACATACAATTCTTCGGCCATTTGCCCTTTTCCATATGCTCTCCAGTTACATCTCCTTAACTCCTCTCTCCTTCTGCCCTCATTGGCTTTTAGGTCTTGGTACTTCTATTTTAAATTGGGATAAAAAGCACACCTATTTCCTAAGAGGTTGCTAAATTGCATGCATTTCCTCCTCTATTGACTATTTTGAAACATTATTCTTATTCCCCTTATCATCAAAAGATGCATCTCTTTAACCTACTCTACATGCAAAATAATTAGTTAAAGTTATAATTATTTTGACACTAATATCTTTATTTTATTTTCATCATATGACCAATATTAAATATGCATTTGACCAGTATATAATATTTTTTAGAATTTAAAATAAATTAAATTTACAGTTTCAACCTAAAATGATTAATGTTGAAATGAAGGTTTAACAAAGACATTTTCTAATAGAAGATATTTTACTGAAAAGAAATCAATGTTATCTTTAAAGGTAGTATAATCATCTGTTGGTTCTTAAGAAAGGTTTGTGTATGTTTTCATAATGGAAAAGAGCAGTGTGCTTTGAGCACCTCTTAGTGAGCGGAGAGAAATTTATCCGTTATATTATTTGTTCCTTTGGTTATTGACGATGAATTCAATCGTATGGTGTCGATTCATGCTTCATTTGTTGGTCATGATTCGAATCATGACAGAATTTTTCTTAGGCAGGCATTTATATTGGTGATGGCAAAGTCATTCACTTTACTAGACGTGGACAAGAAGTAGGAACTGGTACGGTGCTGGATCTTCTTCTCATCAGTTCTGGACCAGCCAGATCTCGCGAGCAATGCCAAACTTGTACACAACCTCGAGAGGTGCACGGGGTTATCTGCTCATGCCTCAATTGCTTCTTAGCGGGTGGTGTTTTGTATCGCTTTGAGTATGCCGTCAGCCGTTCTCTGTTTCTTGCAAAAGCCCGTGGTGGAACATGCACCCTTGCAGTCTCTGACCCATGTGAAATTGTCGTACATCGAGCAAAGTATCTGCATGAAAATGGCTTTGGTTGCTACAATGTTTTCAAGAACAACTGTGAAGATTTTGCAATCTACTGCAAAACCGGGCTTCTTGTTGTTGATCAAGGAAGAATTGGGCAAAGCGGGCAGGCAGTTTCCATTATAGGCGGACCTCTAGCTGCAGTACTATCCACTCCTCTTCGTCTTGTTACAACCAACGTTTATGGAATGGCAGCAACAGCAGTGGGAGTATACTGTGCAAGCAGATATGCAGCTGACATTGGGATGAGGAAGGACGTGGTGAAGGTAGAAGTGGAGGACTTGACGAGGAGGTTGGCTACTGGCATGCTGCAGGTGGCCTCAACCCAAATTTCTGTGAACCTTGCCCGTGAGCCGTCTCAGCTTGTTACTCGATGATTCGCGTTGTCCTTCGTTTCAAATGTTAGACTTCATCAAGTGAACATTATTGGCGCGCGTTTTATTCGTCGCAATGTGTAAGCGATCATACCTTTTTTTTTTTTTGGGCCAAAAGATAAGCGATCATACCTTTGATTGGGGAGATTTGACATGTAAGATATGTAATGTGTGGTGGCATGAATAATTTAATGCTGTTTTATCGATCTCCTGCCCCGTTCAACTTTACTATTAATAATAAATAATGAATGGTGGTATAATGATGGTTGTAAACTCGTAGTTCGCAGACTCCAGGAAGCGCATATTATCGGACTCCAAGTCCAATGTTCAATGTTGTCAATGGAGGTCACTCGAATTATGATAATCCATCTCTTATCTCCATGTCAGTGCTATCAGTGTAAAACGAGTTTCTTAAATTGATTATTCCATTTCACAATACTTACCGTTTTCAGAGGGGCAAAACGGCTGAGCCTAGTAACCCATCTCATTAAAGCCCTAAAATAATTAGGACCAGGCTACTAAATTAAAAAGTATTAATAAATTTTGAGTTTAAAAGAGCTGATCTTAATGGGTCTAAAAATAAAAAGGCCAGTCTTTTAAATCCAAAGATTAGTTCTTTTAGACTTGACCATTTTTTAAAAAAATGTAAGTAAAAATTAAAAAACATTAAATTTTTATCATAGTTCAAGTCTTTTATTAATAACAATTATATTTGATGATGCATTCTATGTATATTTTAAATACTTCATCAATTACATTTGTTTTTTTCCTAATCCAATTCTATTTTGTTTGTATTTAAGTGATATTTCTTTAATCCTTTACAAATTATGATATAAGATTATCAAAATAATTATATGAGTATGTATGATATTTTTATAGACAAGTCTAAATTGGAGAATTATTTGGATAAACTAGCATAATTTGAAAGAATTAAATATTATATGAGTATGTATGATATTTTTATAGACAAGTCTAAATTGGAGAATTATTTGGATAAACTAGCATAATTTGAAAGAATTAAATATTGAATAGATGAAAGAACAATCAACATTGATTTTCATTTCTTTCACGAATGACTGCTCTTATTATTTCAATTGCTACTATAGTTAATAAATTAATTTTTAGTATTGATTTACATATTTTCACAAAATATTGATGTTCTCTTTTTTCAAATAATATTAAGCCTATTATTTATACTCACAATTGATCACATAATTTTGATAATGGTGTTATGATATTAAACTTAAATGTTTAAGCTTTGTAAATTTATTGTGAATTTATTTAAATTTATTTTTGAATTTAATTTTATGTATAATATCTTTCATTGAAATTATAAGTATATTTATTAAATTTTTAAATTAAAAAAATATTAGGCTGGCCAGCCCTACAACCTTAAAGGCCAAGGCTGAGCTTCAAAATCAAGCTCTAAAATAATTTTAAACTTTTTATGCCCAACCTTTTTACCAAAATTACTAGCTCCAATCATTTTAAAAGATTTTATTTTAAAGTGGCAATCAGTTTAAAATTTAATTTAACTACCAATTTTATGATTTCACCGTCGTTATTTTCAAGTTTCGCTGACAAAGAAAATGTACACGAAAATTAGAGAATTAATACAAAAATATTTTCATTGGAGCTCCCTATCAAATATTGCATATTTTCCAAGACAAATGTTCAGCTCAATTACTCAATCGCACTATCATGTGATGATTGAACCGACCAATTGCGCAACAGAACTAGTTAGGCGGGACAAAATTTTAGATATCAGCAACGATGGTGCACCTGCCGTGCGTATTCAATCTAAAAGAAACGAACTATCACCATTGCGGTCGCATCAACACATTAGGGCAACCTAATATATCGATCCTTGCTACAACCTTACACAACCAGAACTGCATTTATGCAACCATCATTTTTCGGGTTATTTGTCACCTGGGCATATTTACCTGTATTTACACTTTACAGCACCAAGTCAGTGTTAACATAAAATTCAGCCAATGTTTATCATGTTGACAGAACTGGCATATAGATGGCAGAGACGATCTTACCCCATAACACCTTCCCTGAGGGTGTGACAAGACGAAGTTCACTGACATTCACCTGAAATACACATTAAGCAGAGAAGTATTAACACTAACGATTAACAAATAACTACAATGTGCTCTGAACCTGCAATACTAATATAAGTGAAAAAAAAAAAAAAAAATCAGATCAGCAAACATAAATGGATTAGTTGGCATCCAGTTTAGAGTAAGGAGTCTTATTTCTCCACAACTAGGTCCATTTCAATAAGAAAACTGTCAAGTGAAAGACTGAGAAATATGAATACCTCAATGATAGTTCCCTTAGTAACGACGCCAAGAGAAGTATAAATAGGACCATTAGGATTTTTCTCGATTCCAATTATTTCTAGATTGAAGGTGCATTTCAATTCTGGATGAGTAACATGTGCTTTAGTGAACCGCAACCCAGTAGGACGTATAAACCTCTCATATTTTGGAGGTTTTCTGGTAAAACCGGGCCCAACAAATGTAGCTTTCGTGACCATTCTCTTCCATTGCTTGGCTGCAAAATAAATTAATCATGTGTTTCTGGCGGTGACTGGATTATGATGCATTCTTTATGCTATGCCATGAAGCCAGCCATTAACTAGAATGCTAAAACAGGAACTAAGAAACTGTACAACAAAAAGACCCTCAGATTCGTTTAGAGATAAAAAGAACATCCTTAGATCCCATAAGAAAAATGGTAAAACTCTTCAACTAGAATTTTTACTGATCCGTAGCCCAATAACAGAAATTCTGGCACTCCAACACAATTCAAGCAGAAAAAATAATATATGGCTAACAACAAACAAAATTTGCAGTAAAATACTTGAAAAAAACAGTACACTATACTTCGAAATACATTTTCCCACTAGCTGACAAAAGATAGTACAAAACTAAACTTTTAAATACATTTGCCAACTAGTAGCCAGCTACAAACAAACCATAAGAGCCAATGATGGCATATAATACTTACTCTTTCTTTCACCAGACCTGACCACTTTAAACATTTCATCCTCAGCCACTGGACGTACCTGAAGTGATGAGGAGGCATCCACAGATGTAATTAGTTATAACTCAGAAAAAAGATCACATTTTATGTAATTGGAACATTGAAATCTCACCTTAGGAAGAGGAACATCCCATTTCCCAGCCTTCTCCTTCCTTTTTGTTTGATGGTGTTACTGAGAACCTACTAGAGCAAAATGTCAGATTAGACTAATAAGTACGCCGAATATAATGAAAATAATATAGCATGCAAGTCATACTTTTCCTCTTGTTGTATTCTCACGATCCAGAAGATATGCTGGAACAGCTCCATCGTGAACATCATCATCTACCTTGCGCCTAGACGTTGACTCTTCATGCATGGCCAAACTGTTTATAAACCATTGGTAAATTATGTAATGTTTCGCATATTTGTCAATCTTGGACGGTAAGCGTTTGCGTGGGTCTGTCTGCGGAGCAGAGAAAAATTAATGTACTCAGCGTGCCAACACTAATGGGTGAGTCTCGGATTACTATAACTTCGAAAGTAAGTAGGTTGATAGATTCAACCACAATTTGTTTGGGTACCCATACAAAGCCATAAGAAATCTTAAAATCCACCTTAAGGCTAAGGCTGCTTTTGTTGCAAACATAAAAGGGAAAGAATAAACGTTAGCTATGTCATGCTATTGAATTTTTCAGCCACAGCTAGCCCTAAAGAAACGCGCCCTTAAAAAGGGAAAAAAAGAAGTTACATAATGATGAATTTCTAAACCTGTCTAATTCTGTGGTGTTTTATTAAAATTTTAAGAATTTGCTATCATATCGAGTCTTCACTCATGAAATGATTCTAAATACAACTAAACTAAAGCCACGTTTGTTTGATCCTTATGCCAGTAACAAACTCAGTAATACATCAACCATGCAAGTCCAATCAGTAAGCTACTTTTAACCTATAACAGGGTTTATCTTTTGCTTTTAAATCCTCCCACAAAAAAATGAAGTCAGCCCATGAAAAATAAAGGGAAAAATAAATTATTGAAAAGGACAGGATTAAGATTGAATGAGAAAAAGAAAGTAAAAAGCAAAACTCACGTCTTCTTCATCTGCGCCTTTTCGGCATAATTTTTCTTGGCAATCATTTTACCCTTGATACCGAGAGCCTGTTCCACTCGAATGAACAAAATAATAAGAATCATGAAAACATAACTATCATTAATTAAGATGAAAGAACCCAAAACAAGTGCAAGACTTACCTTCTGGGCGATGCCAGAGTGCTTATGAACCTCACGAGCCTCTTTCTTACGCTTGCGATCAAAGTGGTCAAGGCGATAGCCATGACGTTTTCTGTGAAGTTCTATGTAATCCCCTTGTGGCTACATTTAAAGAAGAGAATGAAACAAGTAAGAAAGAACATAACATAGAATCAGCAAAAGGATGCAATATTCAAGTTGTAAAGTAGCCGAGACTGCAAATTGAATTTGGGGAGCGAACCATGGTGACAATACAGGAATATTCAGATCAGAGACGTTAACCAGATGAAAGAAAGCTGTAACGGACTGATGTGTAACTCATAAAACCCTCTCTAGCCGGGCTGTCTAGTGGTGAGGCGGTGACCCGCGAAATGGGTTTCATTAGGCTCTGTTTGTCTTTCGTTGGGATGCGTGTTGCCATTTAAAAAACGATTGGACTACGACGTTAAAGCCCAGGGCCCAATAACCGGTTTTGGAGTTCGGGTGAGAAACGGATTCCTTTCCGAACCCAGCAGTGCAAAAAAAGAGGTGAAATGACACTTTATCCCATTTAAAAGTCATAATGACTCTTCGGTATATTGTAATTTCAACTATTGCTTTTACACGATTTATGTAGCTTAATTTTGAAAATTGGAAAAAAAAATCCCACTCATAAAAAAATTTAGTTGTCAAAATGAAAAACTCAATAAAGAAATTATTTTAAGCAATATACTATTATAATTATTTTAATTAAAATTAAATTTAAAAGAAATTTAATATTGTGACTTATACAACAACAGGCCTTACTGTTGTGACTTATAAAATAAATTATATTATTTATGAAATCATATAAAAAAAATAGAAAATAAATTTGTATATTTGTATAATTTTTTTAATTTTAAATTAGATCTTTATAGTTTATTTGTTTTAATCAAGATTTCATGATTTGATTCTTTAAATATGCTAATCCATGGAGATTAGAATCATTAATGAATTATTAACATTTTCAAAAAAAATCTCTTAAAGTTTATATAAATTTTAATTTAATACATTTATTCAAAAAAAAAAACAAAGTAATATAATGTTTTTATTTTTATCATTTTCTGTAAAAATTGTGTATGTTTAAAAAATATTAAGAAAACATAATTTAATTATATAAATTTTGAGTTATAAAAATTATGTAATTAATTTTACAATTATATAATTTTTTAATGAAAATTTAAAAGTTCTTAATTTTCTGTTTTAAAAGAAAAAATAAGGATTTTTATTTCTAGGGATTAATCAACAAATTTGACGAATTAAACTATAAAAACTAGATTAAAAAATAAACTATAATAATTTGATTTAAAATAAAAAATATAATGATGCATATTATTTTTTTAAAAAAATATGTATAGATCTCATAGAGTAGACTTATTTATAATAAGTCTTACAAAATTTAAAAACTATAATAAAATCTTTTGAGACTTAAATGTGATTTGAAATTAAGGCACAGGGATAATAATGACCTTATTAAAAATATATTATATCAATTAAATAATTTATAACTATTTCATTAATAATTTATAACTATCACTTCAATTTTTTTCAATTGTAATTTAATTTTTTTACAGTAAATATTTAAATATTTTAACTATTAAATATGTAAAATTATAATTATAAAAAGTTAAAGTAATAATTATAAATTAGTGATGTAGTAGTTGTAACCAATTAATGTCAACCTTTTTAATAATGCATAATTAATTTAATTATTAGATATATAAAATTATAATTGTTAAAAGTTAAAATAATAATTATAAATTACTGATAAAATAATTATAAATTATTTAATTGATATAATATATTTTTAATAAGAACACTGTTATATTTTGACCTCAATTTTAAAATATATTTAAGTTTTAAAAAATTTAACTGTAATTTTTAAATTTTATAAAATTTATTTATAAATAAATCTGCACGGACTTATGCGTGACTTTCCCTTAATTTTTCTTCAAAAACAAAAAGACAAAAGTCAATTAAAATAAAAGTTTCTCTTCCACGCTTCCCCTCCAACCTATAATTCCTGGAGATATGCAGGGCGGCCACTCCCTCTCTTCATCACTCACAGTCGCAGACAGTATTAGGTTCCTCTTCGGCTTCTTCTCTCTGGATTTCAGGTCAAAGTCGTATTTTTCAACCGAAGAGCAATTTGAAGAAGAAAGGGCGAGGCTTGGTATTTCAGTGAAGAATCCTCTTCCTCTTCGTTTGTCATTCAACTTCACTATTCCTCGCCTCTTTGACGGTTCCACCATGCATTCTCTTAGTTCCTGTTGGTGCCATCAAACAAAAATGAAATGAAATAAATTTAAAAAATAAAAAATTAATTAATTAAAGAAGATAAATAAACATATTTATAACAGAAAAATAATTTAATTCATGAGTTAAAAATAATGATTCATGAGATTTTTAAAAAGTATGATGATTTTTATATTCATATTATATATTAGTGAGTTTATTATACTTATAATAAAAAAAATAATTTAATTTATTTTAATTTTATTTTTTTAATTTATTTTATTTCATTCATTGTTAAAATCAGACAGACCTTATTTTTTCTGTTCAAGTAAATAACTCCCATTATTTTTCCACTTTGGGACAAATCAAAAAAGGCCATCAGTGACGGCCAGCGGGAAAGAAAAAAAAAAAAAATAAAATAAAATGATAAATCTCACTTTCCCGGCTAATTTTGGGCGCCAAATTAAAGGATTTCAATAATTTATCAAAAATCAGTGAGGATTGTTGGCTGTTCGAACCTAGCGTCGGTGCCTCTATGCAGTCCAAAATCAGCGCCTTCTTCAAATCTCCCGCTCATGTGCCAAAATCCAGTGACCCAGCTCTGGTTGTCGACGGCGACGATGACGAACTAGCAATCTGGAGAAGAAAGAGCATCGTATCTTCAATATCTACGAGCGAAAACGTTCCGATCCAAAAATGTAAGCCTTGATGGACTCCTTCGTTTCCATTTCTATATTTGAAAACTGGTTTGCCCTTTTTAGTTTTTCAGAATATGTCTAGTTAATAGGAATTTTGAGAAACTACAATGAAGTTCGGCTATTTAATTTGAAGAAATGTATATGTTCCTTACTTTCTTAGACACCAGACTGGACAATCTTTGCTTGAAGGCATTGTACTTTTCTTAGGAGATTAGTTTTTTCCCTTTCTGATGTCTGTGTATATATCTATATATATTTGGTCAACAAAGAAGCCAAGGCAATACAGCGGGAATTCACCAAACGAAGAAATCACGCCTATTAAGTCGTGTTCAAAACAAGAATTCATTACAACAGGAAGGACGATTATCAAGAATAAGAAGAGGAGCTATGCTCAGTTCCATCTAGATTGTGGTCAATCTGATTTCCTGTTACACAATTGTTCCACTTGCGGTGTCAAATTTGCTCCAGGTGATGCAGAGGATGAGAAGGCACACAAAGAATTTCATAAAACATATACTCGAGGGCTTCCATTTAAAGTAAGTTCACTAAAAAAAATTCTTCTTGAACAAGGGTTACATGCTTGGCTGGACATCATTTTGATGGTTATCTTTATTATGCAGGGATGGACAAACGAAAGGGTTGTCCATATGCCTAATGGCAAAGGGGGTCGAATCATTTTGGTCTTGCAGGGTGACCCTCTAGCTCAGAAAAATAAGGTCTGGCCCTTATACTTTCCGAAACCCCACTACTTTTTCTTCATGTTTTCAAGTCTGGCCCTTATACTATATTAACGTTTTATTGAGAAGTTGTCATCACTGACAGGTCGAAGAGGTTGTGAAAATGATGGAAATTGACCTTGGAACGGGATGGATAATTCATCAACACTGCAAGGTGGATATGCCGTCCCTTTGTTTGGCTATTTTGTTTTGCTTAACAGCTCATTTGTAATTAGATGAAACTGGTTTACTAAAGCACCTCCACATATGTTTTTTTGGTTCTATTCCTTAGATTAATTCATTGTTCTTATATTTGCAGGTTTATCTGTTCATTTCCCTACAGAGGATTGTTGGGTGCCTTGTTGCTGAACCAATCAAAGAAGCATTTAAAGTTATCTCTTGCTCAGTTGCTGGAAGTTCTGATGGCAGCAGAAAGAAGGAAACAAATTCATGTTCAACCACTCTCCAATTTGGGGATATAATTTTTCGAAGAGAAGTTAAAAAAAGAGCCTCTTCGGGAAATGAATTTGCAGAATTGGACACAACACATGGTGGGGCAACATTCTGTGAAGACAAGGCAATCACTGCAGTTTGTGGCATTAGAGCCATATGGGTGACTTCCTCCAACAGAAGAAAACGCATTGCCACCCATTTGCTAGATGCTGTGAGGTAAATTAAACAATTTGATGATTATAGATTCTAGCCTTTGTTTAGTCGCCTTATAAAAATGTCTAGTCCAATGTGTAGTTGAACTGTAGTATCTAGAAAGGTCTTCATATGAGAAACTAAAATTATTTGTCAGTGGCGTATCATATCATAATCTTTCTTTTTCTTTTTGTTTTTTTTTTGGGCGTCCAACTCAGCATATCTTCATAATGGTGCATTGTATTGAACTTAAAGAGCTATGCCCGACTGACACTCTTGCGCTGCCAGAAGAAGCGGATGTAGAAAATTGTATAACCGGAGCTTTATATTGAGTTGAAGTTGAACAATTGTATTCTTCAGTTAATGGTCAACTTATTCGTATCTAACTCTCCTGTGTTGTTAAATTTGTTGCAGGAAAAGTTTCTGCATGGGTTTCGTGCTTGACCATTCTCAGTTAGCATTCTCTCAGCCAACATCAGCTGGAATGGCATTAGCATCAAGTTACACTGGCACTGGATCATTCTTGGTGTATAGAGACAACAAAACAGAGTCATAGAAATTGAATCCGCTAAGCCATGTTTTGATTACTTTTATAGAATTATGGATGTTGTAGTTATTGCATAATGTTAATTATGGTGTTGATTTACGTACAAAACCTTGAATGCTTTCATTAAGAATGTTAAGGTTATATATGAGCATATTCTCTACTATGAAATATGAGAAGTTCATGTAGCAAGAGTAGGAATTTATATAGCACTGTTCGGGGAGGGATTTTTTATTGTTTGATTAGATTAACAAAGAAGAATTATCTACTTCATCAGACTAGTTCCGGATTCGGGCAAGTTAATTAGCACACGTTTTAGCTTCTTGATTCATATGTTCAAGAATTACACTGGAGTCATTTACAAGCATATCTCGGATACTATCAGCAAATTCTTCAAAAGCAGCCGACTCTGCGATCTCTTTTAATCACATTTACTTATCCTTATGACTCTTTTGCCGCTTCGAACCCCAAGTTTACATTGAAGTTGTAGTTAGCATTCCATGTCCAAATTAGAGTTGCATGCCAATTTTTTTTTTTTTTTTTGGTGACAGTTGCATACCAATTCGTACATGCGTGCGCATGCACATTTTAATTGTGATTTTGTAAGTCCTCTGCTTCAATTTTAACTTCTTGTACCAGATTTTATTTTGTTTTTTTTTACCAACAATGCCAGAGTTGATTAACTCAAGTTTGGGTTTGTGATGGCAAATAATTTAATGGGAGAATGACAAATAGGTTTTAAGAGAATTAATTAATTCAAATTAAGTTTCAAAGTATCAAACTTCAAAAATTTATAAATTCAGCTTTTAATTTTATAATTTTATTATGATGAATTTGTCACTTATGTTCTAAATTTTAACAAGGAAAATAAATTTATTTATTTTTTAATTACATTAAAATTTCAAAAAATAAATTATAAATTTAAAGTAATAAAATTATAAATTGAGAGCTAAATTTATAAATTTTTAAAGTTTGATATTTTAGGACTTAATTTAAATTAATTGATTTCTTGAGACCTATATATCATTCTCTTTAATTTAATAGCAATCTGCATGTGAGCTTATCCAGCAATCTTTCAGGTTTGCCCTCCTAATTCCCGAGTGGGTCATTTTGATTTCAACAATCAAAACTGGAAAATCATGACAACTAAGTCCAAGCGAAAGAATCTTACCAGTTTTGCAGCTTGCATCCTTCTGAATAACTATCAACTTCAAAAAATCCTGACTTCGAGATCGCCCCAGATGGACCCCGCATGAGTTGGCTTTGCATATGTCCATTTTATTTTTTTACTGGATCACGATATTTTAAAGCATCAACTTAGAAAATTTAAGGTGCACAAGTTTAAGAGAAAGTTCATTTAAAAAATTAAAAATTAGCCGATTAATTAAGTAGAAGATTTTTTTAACATTTATAAATCTCACTTATATTGTGAAGTGAGACTTTTCAATGGAACTCATAATAATGACACTCAATAATTGACACCCTGGCAGCACCACTCTAGCATTTTACTTGAATTTTTTGGTCATAACTCAAACTCTCCATGTGCAGCTTTCTCCATGGTATTGACCTTTAAATGAAAACAGCAATGTCACGAGTAAAAACAAAGAAAGATCTCATCTCAAAATATTAATATGTTGAATGTAAAAGCTCTTTACATTTATAAACCCTATTTCTTTTTTTTTTTTTTCTAAACTTTCAATTTGGACTCATAACACTTAGACATAAGGTCATTTGCATATTATCTATCATATGGGTTACTTTCTTCATCTCCACAATCGGGTGAAGAGAGACTTAATCGAGCAAAAAATTCAGCACATTATTATATTCCACATCCAAAGAATTTAGGAAGGCTCCTGAATGTAGAAGTGGGTGTGCTATACACCACATTGAGCTATATTTTTGAAGAAAAAAAAAAGATTCTATGACAAAGTAGTATCAAAGTTGAATATAAGTCTGCTCAGCCAGTGAACCCTTCTGATGGACCACTTATGATAAGGGTGTCACAAATTGACAAAAGAAATTGTTATATCATATATCAAAAGGATTTATGGAGGTTTTTGAGCATATAAACGGGTACACTCTATATCCTATTGAGCTAGCTTTTTAAGAAGAGAATAATTGACTTTGAAAGCATGCTCAAGTCTTTTGATGCAATCTTAGTTATCAAAAATTTAACAATGGCTTGTTGGCTCTTTTTTTGAGCTCTCTTTCATGGTGGTGACTTTTTTTGTAAACTATCATTTTTTATTAATATTATTATTTGACTCCAAAAAAATCCTAGATGGCAAAAAAGCCTTGGGAGAATGACATCTTGACTCCTATTGAAATGGTGTACTGACAACAAAGTCCCACGAAATCACACTGCAGTCCTTAGGGACTGTGATGGTATTAAATTTTTTTAATCAAATTACCACAATGTCCTTCACTTAAAAAAATAAAAAATAAAACAAGTCCCTTATCCCTTATGCACCCTCTCGCTCTACCAACTGCTTGCACACGGAGAGAGCGAAGAGAGAGAATGGATCAAACATGGTTTGATGTTTATAGAGAGCCATGTTGGCTTCGGCTTCACTTTGCAAGTCATGGGTTCGATTCAGCGTGCTTTCGTTAGAACTAAGGAGAGAGAGAAGAGAGAGATGGTGATGATCATGGATGCAAAGTTCTCAAAAAAGTAGTAACACTGATGTTCATTCGATATACATCTCATATAAGAAAGCAAAAATATGAAAAATCAATAAAAAGAATCCATTTCCTAACCAGTGATAGCAAACAGTTCAGTTGGGCTAGGCATAAAAGAGAATTACAAATCCTTGTAATTTCTAGTTGTTACTGAATCAAAAGCCTCGCAAGAAAAATAGTTTCAAAAAGGAAACCCAATAGGATAGGAATTTTATTTTCTTTATCCACTATTTATCCATTGTGTTTGCTGATGACCCAACACCGCCATTAGATTCGCTAAGTGAGAAACTGGAGAAGATGGTGGTAGGGTTAGGCTCCATGGGAAATATTGAGGATTGGAAGAAATTTAATGAGGAGGACTATTGGACGAAGCGGTGATGCAGAAGAAGGATCATCAAGCATTCATGGAAAAGGGGTGAAGCGAGAATGCAAAAGGGCTGAGGAACTTGTTTTTTTCCCCCTCAAATGAAGGATATTATGGTAATTCGGTAAACAATGTAATGTCAGCAAAGTCCTAGAGACTGCAGTGTGGTTACCTCATTTTATGGGATTTTGTTGTCACCACATCATTTTTCATTTCAGTGGGTCTTATATGTGATTCACCCAAAAACCTCAGCGCTCAACGCTATATTCCATGCCTTCATTACAGTAATTGTGGATTTATTTTATTTTATTTTATTTTAAATTTTTGTTTATCAATTTATCATTGCCAAAAGCCATCCATCTTCTTTTCTATGATTTATATCATTACTTTATCTGTTTTATTGTATTTATCTTTTGAGAGAAAAAAAATTATTTTATATTACACGTTTTTTAAAAAATTTTAAAATAATATTTATTAACATGTTTCATGTTTTATCCTTAGAATAATTTACAATTTATTAATATAATGATATTTTTAGAAGTATAGAAAGAAAGGTGTATTTTATAAATTATATCATATTTTTACATATTTATTGTATTTCTTCATTTTTATTCCCTCTGTTTAAAAATGTAAAACGTTTTTAACCGAATCTCACCCATAATAAAATAGTTATTTATTTTCAAACTAACTCTATCTTTTATATTTATTTTTATTAAATACTCTATAATAAATATGAAGTCATTATAAATAAAGGCACTTTTAAAAAAATGATAATGATTATATTTTAAAAAATTAAAAATACCTTACATTTTTTGACATCCAACTCCTCAAAAAATGCCTTATATTTTTAGATAGATGGAGTATGTAATAATTGTAAGTTTAAAAAATAAGTATAATAAATTTCGAATATGAGGGAATAATAATTTAATGATATTTTTTTAGATGAAAAAATTGATGATACTGTACATTGAGGCTTGAATGATACACGAAACTCCAAATAAAAGATGTAGGCTACCCTATTTATGATTTTATTTAAATTTTAAAGGGTTAAATGAAAAAAATATTTAGAAACTTTTCCTCTAGAGATATCAATATCTTTAACTAAATAAAGGTGTAGGAGTGCCCATGAAGTGTTAATGAGTCCATCCTTCCTAAAATTGTTGAAAAACCTCAATGTTGACCATTTTAAGTGATATGTAAGCAAACAGCAGATTTGGATTTGATAAATGGTTTAAATACACTTACTTAATATGTCTCAATTATAACATTTAAATTTTATCAATACTTGAAAATTATCAAGATATATTTTTCTCTAAAAATTCAAAATAGTTATCATAATCAAAACACTCCCTGCTTATATTCTCTCTTTAAAAAATTTGAAATTTAATACTTTTTTAATATTACATGACAAAATCTTTAATAGCCGTTGAATTAAATCAAACATTTATTATTGTTGCACATATGACACTCATTAAGTGAGTCCACTTGAGCTATTCATTGAATCCAAATCCAGAAGAGTAAACTAATTTTATTGATGTGGAGTGAATAGTCTAACCAAGCTTATCCTTGCTAGCATTTATTTTGTCTATCCTCACATTTTCTCTTCCATCACTTCACCTCTAGCTCCCTCATCCCTTACCTTTGATGGCATGTTCAACTCTTCCTAATTGACTCCTCTCCTTTGTTGCATTGGCCATCACACCACTAACCTTCATCTCCTGATCACTCCTCTCTTTTATCATTTCATAAAGTCTTTTCTTGATGGATAATAATCTTTCCCAATCTCATCTTCCATCCCCTCATCAACATTGCATCTTAACGATCTCACTACTTGCAAACTATTCCTCATCTTCATCATGACTGGGCCTTCACTACTTGCATCTCGCTTATCTCAACAATCTCAATGACCTCCTCAAGCTGGATTCAAAGTTATTGGCAAGCTCTTTTTTAAATATAAATATGAAATTTTGGTTGGAAACATTCTCAATTTGAAAATGTTAATTTCAATTTTTTTATTAATACATGTGAATGTTGATCGCTACTGAATGAATTTGCATGGTTTTGTTTAGCTAACAACTAGTGAAATTAGAATTTTGCAGGAACCTCTATGAGTTTTGTCCTCAGATTTTAGATTCATGAATCATCTCTTTGAGTATCATGTACTGTTTTGACAACTGAACCAATCCAAATGGTTAGACCGGTTTAGCCACTTCTTAAACAGTGAGACAGCTCAATTTTGCTTGTTAAGCAATTTCAAGTCAAGCATTTTTTTATAAGACTTGGATTCA